GATAATTGTCATGTCCCACCACGGCCGGCTTACCTTACTGATTGTGATTGAGATCTGTTATACACTATTATATGAGATGTAGAGAGGAGGAAAAAATCCCTTCTCTCTCTTTTGAAACAGGCAATGGGGAGGGGAGACAGGCAATGAACATTATCTCTAAAAAGACATAAATGAAATCATTTCAGATAATGACTAATAGTATGAAGGGAAATCTAAGTAATAAGAGAGAGAATAATCTTGGGGTAGTGACGGAAAGAGCTCCAGGGGAGGTCTTTTGTGAGAGGTCCTCTGCCTGGACATGGTAGCTATTTGAAGAGGCTTCAGGGTGCCCAGAGGGGCAAGGCATAAAATTTAAGAGACCTTGGCACTGAGTGGGATGAAGCAGTGGGAGAGAACAGAGCTGTGACAGAAAGCGGGGCCAGATCAGGGCGGCGTCAGAGGTCTTGATTTTGCTCTAACTGCCGTGGGGAAGTAATAGAAGATCAAGCACAGGCTTGGACCAAGTAGATTTATAAAGGGAAATAGGGGGTAAGTGCGGCTACTTGGAAGAGAATGACCTCTAGAGGGAGATAGTGGAGCAAAAGCAGAAAAGGAATTTCAGGATGCCTCAGACACTGGTGGTGGGTGCTGGGGCAACCAGAGGTGAGAAGAGCTCAAATTAGGAGTTCACTTTGAAGAGGATCTGGCAGACTTGCTGATGGGTTGGACTTGGAGAACGAGGGGAAAGGAACTCAAGAATAGCTCCTAGACTTCTGTCTGGCCTACTGAGTGTTGTTTCTGACATGAAAATGAGAGGAGCAGGTAGAGTGAAAATTCCATTTCATTCCATTTGTGTGGTGTGATCGCGAGATACCAATATCTCCTGGCCCAGCCTCTTCATTCAGCTAAGTGTCAAGCACATATTTACTGTGTGTGAAGCACTCTAACACACAAGGCCATAGCGCAGTCCAAGTCTCCCTGTTTTCCAGGTAGGCTGCAAACACATGCTTACCCTCAGAAAGCAGACCGAGCCACCCAGGAAATGGAGCCCCTGGCAATCATCACATCTTTTAGTTCCCTGTCCCTGAAGGGTAAACGAGCCATAGGATAAATAGCTGTAGGCATGCAGGCTGTCTCACAGTAATTGTTGGAAATTAAGACAATCACTGAACTAGTTTCTACTAATTAAGCAGACATAAAGCCTTGGTTAATGGGAGGGTAGGCACAGTTGTTTCATGTAGCCTGAACGCTCACGCCTTACAGAAGCCCTTTTGAATATACCTAAGTTGCAAAACTGCTCTTGGATGTCAGGATGACCAGTTAGGTTTTCTCTGTTCTCACTGTGCCTGGAACAGGGCTCTCTGCACTCAGAGAACTGACAGAGATTGTTGAAGGTATTTTTCTAGCAGCCGACTTAGTTCTGTGTATTGGCCAGAAGGCTATTGTCAGTGCAGAGATCTAATGGCGATGACTTTTGAGAGCTTCATTGGGAAAGATGTATTACTTAGTAAACCTCAGAGTAGGGAATTAGATAGAACAAAGTACACAGGAAGTATGATTTTTGAAGATATGATAATTATCAAGTTATTTCTTATGACCAATTTATATAACCTACCTTTTACAGTTTTTGTAAGCCCTGGGTAATTACATTTATTTACTGTTGCAGGAGCGGGTCACCAAGCTTGCACCCTGCCCCCAGTCAGAAGAGGATCTGTCTGCACTCTTTGAAGCTTCAATGGAATTGTATTAATTGCGATTTTAACTGAAAGAATTACCATTGGCTTTTGTAATTCTGAGGAAAAAAAAGTTGATCTGGCTAGAGCTCTGTCTTTTCAAAGTTCCACATACAACTTTCCTGTTACTTGTTTGAATGAGATATAAATTTGTCCCGTAGGAGTTTCCCTGGTGTTCTAAGTCAAGCTATTTCAATAAAACAGGCTAAACAAATGCCCACTATGTCAGATCCATTGACCAGGTATCGAGGGTCAGTGTTCTTCTGCCAAACCCCACAGAACATGTGCGTCTGCTCCATGTATATTAAATGGGCTAAAACCTAGTACCCAGTAACTGCATGTCTCTAGAAAATTATCTTACAAAAATACTAGCATAAGTATACTTTTAAAATGAAAAGGAGTTTCTAGTAATACTTTTTGAAATAATAAAAATTTCAATTTTTATTTCAACCTAAATATTCAATAATAGTATCTAGATTAATAAATCAAAATATATTGAACAGTGGGTTGCTATAGTGTCATTAGTAAAGATGAAAAACTCTGTTGAAAATACATCAATTGCATAATAGATGCTGGCCAAAAATGTTGCAGAAAATTATATGTTAATATGGTCTGATTTTTACTTTACCTACTATATATTTTGCCCATCAAAATATTAAGTTTTGGGGGCTGAGGATTTGGCTCAGCGGCATAAGCACCTGCCTTGCAAGTAGGCAGTCGTGAGTTCGATCCTCAGTACCGATAAAAAGGAAAAAGACAAATAAATAAATAAATAAATAAATAAATAAAATATTAAGTTCTCACTAAACAGATGGAATTAGGAATTAGGAGAGTTGAAAGAAAATTTTCACTTTGAGTTTTATACTTTTACTTTATATTTTGTAGATATCTATCATTTGTATTGGTTAAAACAAGGTATTTGTCTTTAAAGGGCAGAGGAGTTGGGAATATAGCTTGGTGTGGAGGACTTGCCTATTATATACAAGGTTCTCACTTCAATCTTAGCATCACAAAAGGTAAATAATAAAAGGAAAAGGAAAAGAAAAAATACCATTTTAGTGTTTCATGTCAGACTCATCTAATTTGATAAAAATACTATAAGTAATATCCAGAAGGCAAAATCAAATTCAAAGGGGTAAAATATTAAAGACAAATCTCATAGTGAGTAAATTATTCTCTTGAGAAAAACACTAACATCCTATATGATAAATCTTTCTTTGGAAAAATGGATCTAATTCTCAGAGTAGGTTGATTCAGAAGCAAGCAGTTCTATAGTTTAGATTTCAGCCTTGCAAGTAGGATTCAAGTAGCATGATAATCTTCCTCCCTGATATTCCCAGACTACAGAAATTTCATGACTCATTTTTTTCAGAAAGATTACCACACTAAAAAAATCATAATAATAAAAATAAAAGAATTACCACATTGAGGTTTGCCTGCTCAAGCTTTGGCATTGAAGATCTCAGTATTCCTAAAGATTTTCTCATGTATTTAATTGAAATTTTAATCTATAAATGGGTAATGTACATATAATTAGATTGGGATAAAAAATGGAATAAGTGATACTGTACCATTTGACTGCCAGAGGCCCTCTCTATTTTGTTGTTGCTGTTGTTTTTTTCTTTTAAGACTTAAAAATAATGTTTAGGGCTAGAAAGCTCAGCAGCACAGCACCTACCTGACAAGTGCAAGGGTCTGAGTTCCATTTCCAGTACCATAAAAATAATGTTTATTGGAGGTCTTCACAAATTATGAAAGTAAAATATGTTTAAAACATGTAACTGCTAATACAGTACAATGATAAGGACAAAATAATTATACATTTTGCACCATCCAAATGATAACTATTGTGAAATACTTTGTATATGTTCTTGCAATCAGATACATTTTTTTTATTTAGAAGTGACATTGTAAACTAATTCCTACAAAGCAGAAAAGTCTGGACAAGGAATGTAGCTTAGTTATAGAATGTAGGTTCTAGTTTCAATTTCCAGGACTACAAATTATAATAATAGTAATTTCTACAAAGCACTGAAATTGTTTATAGCAGGTTCCTTGAAGGCAAACCTAAGACCACACCAACGGAATTTCAGCTACACCTTGCAGACCTCATCTAGCTAAAATTCCTTCCAGCTTTTCAGCAGAATCATGGAATGTGAAAGCAGAAGCCAAGTATAAATGAGGAAGAAAAATAAACTCTTTGCCAATCTGAGATCCTTCAGGAAATTTCAGTAAAAGTTTCTAATGAATATTTGAAGAGACATTGGCAGAGCAAAAATTTCGTATATATGTATATATATATCCATATATTTAAATATATATGCTCAAGTCTCATAAATATTTATAGACATCCTCCCTTCCATATGATTTAAATCATTTCTAGATTACTTATAGTACCTAACACAATGTAAACACTATGTAAGTATCTGTTATGCTGTATTTTTCTGAAATAAAGGTAAGAAAAAAATTCTGCACGTTTAGTACAGATGCAATCAGTGTAGGCCTAAGTACTAGCATGCAAGTGAGACTCAAAACAAGAAGTGCTCACAGTGCTGTTGGAGGAGAACGCAGATCTGCAAAATAGTAGGAGGCTACAGCAAAGTGCGCCTCCACACCGCTTCGTTCACATGATCTAGCATGGTGCACGGTGCACAGCAAATTCAAGTTTTAAATATTTGGGACTTTCCAAAAATCTTCATCTCCAGTAGTTTCAATCTGTATTTGGTTGAATCACAGATGTGGAACCTATATAGACAGCCAGCTCTACATTCTGCAATGTAATATAACATCTTAGAAATGCATTAGACTGGAAACCAAGGGCCCTGGGTTTGGCTTCAGTCTTCTCTGAGTCTTCCTTTCCTTAACCAGTGCCTCTTCCAGCTTATAAATGCCATGACTAGATCTGATGTGTTACCTTAATGTGATATTTTTGACTTAAGGAAAATTAATGTAAAATAATTTGAGTGATAAAAATGAAATCTCAGACTCTCTGATGCCTTACCTAACAGTAGCCAGATGTCTAAATGTGACTCACCAGAAGAAGTGTTGGGTGTTCCTATTGATGATGACTCTGTAGAGGAGGAATTTAAAGGGCAAGTATGAAGAAACAGATTTAGGAAGCTGTAATTTTTTCTTTATTTTGATACCATCATTTTGGTCTTTACATTTTGAAAATATGGTAAAGTTATGTTCTGTGACTTAAACAGCAATTTTTAAAGTGTGTAATAGGAGATCAGATCCATTTCTATAAACCATCATCATGTTGCAGAGACAATAATTAAGTACATTTTTCTAATTTCAAATCCTAGTTTTCTTTTCAAAAATTCTAAAAAGCCTCAGCCACACTTACATGGATTAATTTACTTGCCAAGGCAAGGAACATTAAAAGAAAGACATTCAGAAGTCTGTATATGTCTGCTTTCATAAAACTATCATATACAGTGTTTACACCTAAAATACATCATCAGTAATTTCTTTCATGATATAAAACACTAATTTGTTCCAAGTAGGCCATGCTTTATGATTTATTGTCAAGTGCCTGACTTGTTTTTGTGCTCCTGTCCCCTCTCTGTGTTTGGGATTGGCATTGTTTGTGTGGCTGTAGATCCAGCTCTGGGGTGTTTTCAAGTGGTCAGTGAAATGTCTGCTCTTGTAAAATACAGACAAGTACAGTATCAAAATAGAAAGCACACACAAAAATTACTTTTCTGGCCTTTTAACCCTGAGAAAGATTAATGGTTGTTTGGATTAGAAACTGTACCCTAATGAGGCCACTGTGCCTCTGGGGAGTAGGTAAGAGAAAGGACTATTCACCTCTGGGTCAACAGGGCACAGGCTTCAAGTCTCTGATGACCAGCAACCCCAAGCCAGACAGCTGCCAGGGCTCTGCCATTAAGTGCCCGGTCCTCTGGGAGCTGTTAGGGGACCAGGCCATCACCATCACAATAGCCTGGGGGAGGAGGTCCCCAGAACCAGGCCATAGTGAATGGACAGAAATTGTTTCTTAAAGCTCTATGTTGAATTACTGGCAGCTGGGGATGGGAGGATCTAGTTTCCCCTATTATTCCACTGGTTTTCCAACCACTCCAGTCACTCTCAGAATAAATGCAATCTTCCTACAAATGGCAATAATTAAGATTTTTGTCCCATGTAAAGTCCTTCATGAAGCTATGTGCAGGACAGTTAACTTCAAAGTAAGCCCATTTTACTCTTTCTGTCTTTAAATATTGACTTCATAATTTGAGTACTTTTAATTGGTGTTTGTAATTGATTGAAATATTGGGAGAGAAAAGAAAAGAAAAAAACCTACTAATTATCCCATTACCCAAACACAGCTGTTAACATTTGATATAGTTTCTTTTCATTTTTCCTGCTTAGATGATGTATAATCTTCAGCCCTTTTCTCATAAGCATGTTATTTTAAGCATTTTCTATGTTGCTAAATAATCATTATAATCATTACTGTATTTTCAAAAGTGTACAATAACTTACAGAGTATTGTTTTAATAATTTGTCCTAATTATAGGCAATTGATTGTCTCCAAATTTTTACTCCCACCAAACATAACAATGAAGAAATGAATAAAGCATTTGTGGCTTTTCCCTATTCTAATTCCTACAACTCCTGATTCATATTTTCAAATTACATGTACAGTATTTCACTGCTGCTTTGTTACTTCCCCTTTCTTTCCATCTTATTCTCTTCAAAATAAGTATTAGTACAGAATATAATTAATCAAACAAAGTTTGTTTACATGGACCGACAGGGCTGGACTATATATGCAAACTGTGATGTTTGCTCCATGTTAGCGCAGTCAGGCTCCAGTATCTGAGGCACACTGATTATAGAACACTTCTTGGAAACCAAAATCTGAAGATAGTCAACTCTTTTTACTAAAATTGCACAATAATATCTGTCATGCATCCTTCCACATACTTTAAAACTCTAGATGACTTGTAATATCTAATACAATAGTTCTTTGTGTTGTTTAGTGATTAATGACAAGAAAACTGAATATATTCAATACAGATACAATTTATATGTATGCATGCATGTGTGTGTGTGTGTGTGTGTGCGCGCGTATTTGTGTGTGTGTGTACACAAAGGCCCTCTCAGTCCAAGTGAGTTTGATTTAACACTGCAAGGTACCGATAGCTGCACTCCAGAAGCTCAAAGATCAGCATTGAAGTTCTGTACCAATTCTCATGCTGGATACAAGAGGAGGCATTTGCTAAATAGATCAGTGGGCTTCCGACGGTGTCTGACTTCAGAAAGAGTCGTAGTACCAGCCTGTCACTTGAAGTTTTCTTCTCCAGCTGACCAATTTGCAGGCAGTCAGCTTAGAACGAGCCACAGTATGGGAAACTTCTTTCTTACTACCCCTGCTGCCTTTTGGCTGTCATTCCGTAAGCTGGAGTGGCACTGAGACCAGAGGTGGCTGCAGCAGGCCTCTGTGGGTCTAAGGTGTGGTGGGGCCGCATTTGCTTATGGCTTTGCTGTCAGAGTCCCGAGGGGGCACAGGCCATCACAAGGCACTACAGGCAGGACATGTATGTTTGTAATTTTTCCCTTGAATATTTTTAATCTGTAATTGGTTGAATCCACAGAAGCACAATGCACAGAGATGGAGGACTGACTATATGTCCTAGCTCATATGAAGAAATTAAAATTTTCAAATACACTTGAAAAATATACTTTAATGTTATATTTTTGCCTCTTAAGTAGAACTATAAACCACCAAGTAAGTCTACTTTTTCCCCTCATATATTCCCCCTTCTTGGACCTTCTTCTGGACCCTAAGCCTACAGGCCTATAATTAAAATCAATGTCCTCAGTTTTGCTGGCCAAAAATAAATAAATAAAAACAAGAAAGGAGCCAGGGGTTTTTTTAGCTCAGCTGCTTAAGTTTCTGCTTGGCAAACGAGAGGTCAAGAGTTCGATCCCCAGCACCAAAAAAAAAAAAAGTAACATATATTGTTCAAATTCCTTTTTTAAAAAAATGCACACACATATTCTCTCCTATAAACTACCCAGTCCAATGAGTGAAAGAATCGCTGCACTATGAGAGGAGTGAAACCCACCCAGACCTCTTCAGAGTGTTTAAGTTTCTCCTCTCATCAGAAACTTCTGGAAGCTTTACAGTTGTGCACATGAGCCCATAGTGGCTTTGGTAACATTTCCTGGAGACCAGTGTGAGCCATATACCATTCACTGAGTACGAGGGGGGAAAATGTTAGCAAATCTGTATTTTATTTTGGCATTCCAGCAGATAGGTTAGTAGTGAGTTCTTATGGACTTAATTTGTATAGCTCTACTAGCTTGTTAATCTCTTTTCTGGTTGTGTCTTTTACTGTCTAGTTGGATTTTTTTTACTGTTGAATTTTAAGAATAGATTTAAGAATTTTAAGAATAAATTCTAGAAACAAGTCTTTTTTGGATATGTGGCTTTCAAATATTTCCTTTCCATTCCTTGTTGCTTCACTTTCTTACATGGTTTTGCACAGAAGAAAAGTCTTAGTTCATTGAGGCTTACATCAGTGTTTCATAATGAGATGTATATTTTTATTGCCCCCATGTTATGGGTGATAAAACCACCCCTTAGAAAAAAGTCATATAACTTGCTCAAGGCCACATTGCTACAAGTGGTAGGAAGTGGTTTGGTCCCAGATACTGATCTTGACAACCATCCAGTGCCACGTACCATGCCAAGTTCTGGACTACAATGATGAATAAGACACAGTCCCTTCCTTGAGGGAGAACCTAATCCAGCAGAGGAAAGATCCTCACAGACACAGTTTGATTCCTGAGGAAGTATCCCCAAATGCTAAGCCGCCTCAACAATGTAGAGGCCCTCAGTAATATTTGTTGATCGGATGATTAAGCAGGACAGAAGGGAGGGAGGAGAAACCCATTATCCTGCTTTTCTTGACAAATCTGGTGTTTGTTGTGTCTTATGTAGAAGGGAGTTGTTTGTCATAGAAAATACTTTCTACTTTCTAGAAGTAGAAAGAGTTCCCTAAACCCTATTATCCACCTACCTACTCATGCTGAATAGTTTGTACAGCTGTGCCAGGCAACAATGACTCAAAACTATTGAATATGAAGAAAGGCTCTGCCGTATTATGCACTATCACAACAGAAAATACCATGGAAACTGGCAACCGAAAAGAACAGTAGTTCCCCACACCTCCATGGGCCACCAGGCGTTGGGGTACAGGCATGGCCGTCTCAGTCTCTCTGACCTCCTCGCTCTCCAGACTCCCACCATCTCACAGGACCGCCAGACCAGGTCACCTCTCCTTTTACAAAGAATCTGATCCCCTGGAAGTCTTCCCACAGGGCAGAGGCTCCAGAAGAGGCTATGAAGATGCTCTCCTCTCTTCACCAGTCCTCTTCCCTCCAGTCTCTGTTATAGTTTGCTATCACAGCCCAAGCTGGATACAACAGTGCCAAAGAGGAAGAAGAGAAAAACATGCATTAACATTAAGTAGATTATACAAGTTTTATTCTTAACATTTTACATATTTTTCAATGTTGTCATTTCAACACTTGTATGCTTATTACACCTTTTACTTCAATGCACACACAATTTTTTTAAGCTCCCTGCCTTGCCTGGATTGCTGCAGCCACCTTCCTAATGTTTCCCCCCCCCCCACTTCCCTTTCCTCGCTTACCTTTTCATTCCTTTCCTTCTCTCTCTCTCTCTCTCTCTCTCTCTCTCTCTCTCTCTCTCTCTGTCTCTCTCTCTCTCTGTCTCTCTCTCTCTGTCTCTCTCTCTCTCTCTCTCTCTCTCTCTCTCTCTCGCCTTTTTCTTGTAGTGCCAGGGGTTAAACCTAGGGGCTTCACACTGACTTACATCCTCATCCCTTTTTATGTTTATTTTGAGATAGGACCTTACTAAGTTGCTAAAGTGCCCAGGCTAAATTCGAGTCTATGATCCTCCTGTCTCAGCATCCCAGAGTGTCAAGATTATATATTCCATCATGTCTGGCTTAGATAAAATACAAATTGCTGACTAAGGCTTTCCTAAATCTCCCAGAGGCTTCTTGTGGCCTTCAAGAGAAGGCACACACCTTGCAGCAGACAGGCACCATCATGACCTTGTTCCTGCCTGCCTGACTATCCTCCATTCTGCTATAACAACTTCACCCACAGTCACTTCTACTTCCTCAAATTCCCACAGACTCAGGAATTGCCTCAGGCCTCCATAGCTTTGGCCGTGCTATTCCCTGTGCTTGAAATATCCTTCCAAGCTACACCACGAACTTTTGCCTAGTCTTCACTCAGCCCTATCATTATCCCCACCATTCTCCTCCAAGGGAAATCAAAGAACTCTGATTTAAGGTGTCTTCTGAACCCCTGTAACATCTTCCATGTGCTTCTACTTAAACTGTACAATCATTGATTTTCTTCCATACCTTCCCCTCTGACCTGTTAATAAAAGGTAATAGATTGTCTTGATCATTGATCCTTGTCATCTCACATAATATCTGGCATATAAAGAAGTAGTCATCAATAGATAGTTGAAGAATAGAACTTTTTTTTTTTTTTTTTTGGTACCAGGGATGGAACTCACAACCTCATTCTTGCCAGGCAGGTGCTTACCCCTCTGAGCTAAATCCCCAGCCCCTTAAAATACAGTAGGAAAGAGACAATAAACCAACCCATCTCATTTTTCTCACTCAGATAATTTTCTATTAACCCAACTCAAACATGAAGCCTGTGTGTCCCAGATCCTCAACTATGATGAATGAGTGGTGGGGCCAATAGTTCTTGCCTGTAATATCTTGGTATAAAAACAACCTGACAAAAGGCACGAAGCATTCTAGAATTCACTTGTTACAGTTCTAGGTCATGGCTATTGAAAATAGGAGGACAGCGTTGGGCTGCATGAATTTAGGAGTTTCCTTTTATGAATCCCCTGAACAGAACCAGGAGCTGAGCTAGTTAGTAACAACTTTATAAAGAACAGACAACTATGTATCCATACAAAAAAAAGTCTTCCTACCAGTAGTAACACTATTAACATCTTAGCAGCTTTTCCATTGTGAATCTGATCCATATTTTCTTCTTCAAAGCCCAACTTGAGTGCTTGTGATTTTTTTTTAAATGAAACCATCAATACAAAATAAAAGCTGAGCAATATGTGCAGTCAGGGGTGTCTGGAGTATATTTTATGTTAAAGAAAATATTGAGTTATTAGAGCCTCCCTTTTAAATCCCTTAAGCCCTTCAGCTTTAGAACAAGAGACTTGAACTCCGGGATCTAAATTTTTATGTGGCTTCTTATTACGTTTTATCCCTTTTAAAAACCCTAAATCCCTTCAACACAGCTTCAGCTCCTTCCACAGCTGAACTGGCAGCAGGCTGATCTTTTTATTAGGAGGTAATGGATTTAGTTTGATTGCTGACACAGGAACAATGAGAGGATAAACAATCCCATTTGTGGCCATGAAGTTCACCATCTGTTGAGTGCATTCATGACTGAAGAGTGCTGGGCACAGACAGATGAATGAGCCTGCCACGCGTGATGTTAATGACATCCGTCATACAAGCTGAACATGTGGCTTCATAAACCAAGAGCTGATACCTACGCTGGCTGCTCATGTCATTAACAAGCCATCCATTTAAATACCTAACAATTTACCATAACACTCAGTTTAAAGACCTGCAATTCTAATCTCACCAAAAAACCACGGATAGTAAAGACAGCCCCAAATTATCCTTAAATATTTGCATGTGAAACCGTATACTTTCTGGAATTGGTTTCAAATTAAAATGGGATGGGGTTAAGTAAGTGAAGGGATAATGAAAAAATATTGGTCATGAACTGATCATTCTTAGAGCTAAACTGTAGGTACATATGTGTTCAATATACTGTATTCTATGCTTTTGTACATGTTCACATTCTTCATTAGCAAAAGTATAAACAAAAGTATTTGACACTAACAAATGGTAGGTTCCACTGTTTAGTATAAGCTTTTTTGCCTAATTTTGTCTCTTATCAAAGAAATAAAATGCTCACATAACATCTAACAAAGCAAAGCTGTCATCAGGAAACAGTAGTACATTTTGCAGGGGGATGATCAGGTAACACCTAGTGCAGTTTTGGGGGGACCCACTTTCCCCACCTCAGCCCTAAGGCAAGGAGATTAGTGTGCTTAAGGCACTGCCAATTTTTTTTTTTAATTCCTTTTCATTTTCCACTGGAAGAGTTATCTTGCCATCACTTCTGTACTTCGTTCTATTTTTTCATGAATACCCTTCTTAGGTGTTTTAATTTATGGGTTGTCAGAAAAATGAAAATACAAAGGAAAGGGAGAACACAAAAAGTAAATGGCAATGCCTTATGTAAGGAAGGACCTTGTCTTGGTAACTTTTCTCTCGTTGCTGGGTCAAAATACCCAACACTCCAAATTAAGGGAAGATAGGCTTATTTAGCTCACAGTTTGTAGAGGTTTCAGTCCATAATCAACTGGCTCCAAGGCAGGGTGGCATGGCAGAGGGCAACCCTGCACAGAGGCAGCAGAAAACAGCAAAAAAGGGGGAAAAGCCAACCTCTTTTCCTCCCTTATAGTGTAAGCAGGCTACTCTCTCTCTCTCCCTCTCCCTCTATTATAGCCACAAGCCATGTGACGTGTAACTAGTTCAGACTGAAATATGCTGTCCATGAAAAATACATACCACATCTCCTAGACTCGGCATTAAAAAACAAAAATTCCATGAACCATAATGTACTTTTCATTAAAACTTTAAAAAATTCAACCATCTCATTAATTATTTCTCATATTGATTGCATTTTTAAATGATAATATTTTGGCTATGTTTGATGAAATAAATTTACAGAGCTGGAGGATAAATCCAGGGCCCTACACATGTTAGACAAATACTATATTGCTAAGGTAAATCCCAGCCCCAAACATCCAGCCTTTTAATTTATAGTTGGCTAGTCTATATTACTATTGAACCCACCTATTATGTACTGTACATAATTTTTTAATATTTCAGTGCTGGGAATAAAACCCCAGGGCCTCTAGCATGCTAGGCAAGTATTCTACCATTAAGCTATATCCCCAGCCCACTTAACATAATTTAAAAACCGTTATATTTAATATATTGAGCTTTGAATTCTATATTTTATATATTATATATAAATTTCTACTGTCATCTTTCTCTTTTAAAAAGTTTATACACTTATTTTTTAAAAAGAATATATAGAGAATACTAATCACCAAATTTCCTGCTTTGGAGGAAATCGAAGTTTTTTGCAATTCCAAATATAGTCTATCAAATTTAAAATAAACATATCAGGCCAGGGATTTGGCTCAGTGACATACGCACCTGCCTGGCAAGCACGAGGTCATGAGTTCAATCCCCGGTACCCCCCAAAATAATAAATAAATAAATAAACATATCTCTAGACTTTATTCCCAGATCTCCAATTTGACTTCTAAGAATTTATCCTGATAGATTTTGAACATGTGTGTGAAGACACATATTAAGAGTACTTAATGTAGTGTTAATAATACTAGAAATGACTGGAGTAATCTTAACCGTTAAGCAGTATTACAATATGTTCGCACAGAGTCCATTAAAGAGAAAGTGAGAGAATCCAGGTGTGGTGAAATATAGGCCTATTTACTCAGGAGGCTGAGGTGAGAGGATGTTTGAGCCAGCAAACTTGAGATCAGCCAAAATAACCCCATGAGACCCCATCTCAAAGCAAACAAATAAACAAAAAATAGATAGATTTATTTCCACCTGTTTCTGCAAGTAACATAAATCCACTACAAACTGATTCATAATAATAAATAGTTTATTAGATCACATAAAGTTAATTTTATCCATTTCTTTGAGCTTTGGTGGGAAATACTGGAGATTGGACCCAGGGCCTTTGAACCACATCCCCAGCTTTTCCTTAAATTTGTGAGACAGGGTCTTGCTAAGTTACCCAGCGTAGGCTTGAATGTGGGATACTCCTGCTTCGGCCTCCCAGAGCCTTTGGACTTTTTAAGCATGACTATTACATATTTTAGTTAGGTTTGTGTCTAGCGTTGTATTTCTACAGAACATACTGCTGTAATGGTTCTACATGAGCTACAATAAAAGTATAATTCAAAAGCCAACTTGGGGGCTGGGGATTTAGCTCAGTGGCATAAGCGCCTGCCTTGCAAGCAGGCAGTCGTGAGTTCAATCTCCGGTACCAATAAAAAAAGAAAAAGACAAAAAAAAAAAAGCCAATTTGAAAGTACTCATAGGTTGTACTAGACTCAGCAGGAAAAAGACAAGAGTCACTTCAGATCTCCCTTTGAATACCTCGTAGCCATCTCCAACTTCAGAGGTCTGAAGCTGAGCTCCTGCTCTATAGTGGGTAGTTAGTCCACACTCAGATTCTCTAAGACCACTACACTCTTTGCTGAGAGTGGCTGGTGACT